TGAGGTATTGTTGCATGGACCCTTTTAAGATCGTTGTACTTAACAGCAGTGGCAGTGTGAAACTCCTTTCCTTCACTCGCATCATGTCTAAATTGATTTATCGTTTGACGCATATTGCCTCGTCCGACTCAGAGGCACCATTTAATGATATGGATATTGCATTTGTGAGGGAAGAGGGAATTTATTTGGTGGCAGCGGTTTCCGCAGACACATTACTAGTCTCTGCGCTGGAGTGCGGGCTAACGAACGTAGCAACTCCTATCAGCCGACGGTCACAACCCCTCAATTCCGCCCGGACGCATGAATTACTAAAGTTTGTGCCCACTTCAGTCGGAAATCGAGTGCTGATGTGTGTTGCTTGGAGTGTTGATCTTGAGGTATTTAGCGTTGCTGCCGGAGGCACTTTTTCTCAAATCGAGCGAATAGCCGTTGTACGTCTTGAAAGGCCATTGCATGCAATGAGTCGTATTGCCGACTGTTGTTTGCTGCTTCTTGACCAGAAGGATGTGCTGCACTTACTGGATGCAGGTGTCGGAGTCATTGTGGAAACGCGAGTTCTACACGGCGTGGAGCCTGTTGTGTTCTCCAGCCGAAGTTGTGGCATGAGGCGCAATGCGGCTTTTGCGTTCATGGGCAGCGATGCTTTCTTATTGGGTCGCCGTCGAACCTTCACTTGTACTCTGCTCTCGTGGCGGACTCGTCTGGATGCGCTGGTGGAGAAGCGGCGTTTCCCTGAGGCTCTGGAACTTGCCAAGGCATTTGCACTGGAGGTGGCATTAGCTGTTGTGGGTCTCCATGGAGACTCCGCTACACGTCGTGCAAGTATTCACTCTTATTTGCCTCATCTCATTACATCGTACCTGAAGCATGTCACGGAATCAAATTCTTCTCAAGAAACCCTTGTACGTTGCGTTACATGTGTCATTCAGTTTTGCTCAGAAGTTGATGCCATGGATGTGTTCTTTGGCCCTGTAATGGAATTCCTTAGGCGTGACTCTCTGCATTATTCTCTTGCATTGTATTGTCTTGAAGAAAGTATTGTTTTGGGTCTCGTGACTGTATTGCCGGATATGTATATTCAACCCTTTTTTGATTTGTTTGCCAATGAAACGTTACCCGTGATCACGGAATTAATGCATGGAACAAGTGATGCCGTGTCTTCATGTGGAATGTTGAGAGTCGAACGGGCTTTGATGTGTCTTGATGGCAACCATGAGCTTCTGATGCGTATTGCGAAGAAGCATAAGCTGGTAAGACTGGCTGTTTCTATACTCTCTTACAGACAGCAGCGGTATGTGGATGCGCTCCGATTCGCTCTTGAGGAAGATCATGAACATGGGGTAGCAGTTTGTTTTTTTGAGTGCTCCATGGAGGGGTATACGATTTTGGGTGACACGGAGATTTCTGTCGATCAGCGCCAAAAGGCGAAGCGGGAACTTTGGTGTCACCTATTGACCGTCCCGAATGACTTCTTGGCACTTCTTCGTATGGATCCCGAACGTGTTCTTTTTGCAACATTCTCATCGCTACAGGAAAGTGGGCCCGATTCCCCTTGGGGTGAAGCATTGTCGAAGAGGCAATGCGTTGGGGAGTTGTTTCTGCAGCTGGTGGGGACGGAGGTATCATCGAGTGACCCACTCAGACCGTGGGAACTGGCACGACGAAAGTGGCCGCCATATTCTGTTGTACATCAGCTCTTTACTGGCGTGACCCATCTTTTGCTAACTGAAGCCTTGGTTCTCCCCCATATGCGGCAATTCTGCGAGCACGCATGCTCGCATTTTATATACGAATTTCAAATTGCTAAGAATGAACACGAACGCCGCGGTGCGCAGACTGAAATGGCGGTTCTCATGACTGACTTCATTACCAGGGGGATAGATTTTTCATTTGCGGAGGATGAACTGCGTCAGCAACGCATGGCGCGCGCCTTGGCCGCTCTGCACTGCTCTCGACTAGAGTATGCCGAGGCCATTGACTGTTATTTGGACAGGGAGAATAATTGTGCGGATCCGGAGCTGTCAAAAGACGTCTTTCGTGTGCTTCGAGAGGAGATGACCCGAGCTTATCATTTGGGTGATGAAAAGATGGCGCAACGACTGCGAGAGGCTGTTATGCATCGAATCTCCCTCTTGGTAAACGTGGATGCGACGTCGCTGGCGCAGTTCGTACTGGAGCACCTTCAGGGGAGTCACGAGGATGTCATGAATATCCTTCGCCGCTCCAGTGGGACGTTTCTTCGTTACCTCGACGAGTTGGTAGCGAAGGAAGACCCGATGGTATCGAACGATGTGAGGTTGCAGAATACGTACATTGAATTATTGTGTGCTCATGACCCGGCGCGAGTCTACCCGTACCTGCATTCACGCGATCTGATCATTAAATATGATATTCATCTTGTGCTGGATGCGGTGAAGCGACACAATATTGCGGATGCCGCAGTGTTTCTGCTTGAAAAAACGCTCATGATCGACGAGGCGATGGAAATCCTGTTGGGCGCCGTTACCGGAAAACTGCGTGCACTACGACAGGAGGTGCTAGACCATGTTGTTTCCGTCTGCCGGAAGGGCACGCGTCCTCCTCGACTCTCCTTGTGGACATTGACCCAGCAAGAGGATGCGGGAATGACGCGAAGGATGACGGTGGCGGAGAGAAGAAGAGGGGCAAGGGAGGAAGACGGAGAAAAGAAGGGAGAACAGCAGCCACACGGGGAGCAGCAGCAGCAGCAGCAACGTGCCCATATTTGGGCTGGTGAGGAGCCACTGCAGCAGGTGCTGAAGGTGGGTGTGAATTTGTGCAACAAGTACAACGATGACTGTGCTCCGCAGTTGAACCAGAATTGGTTTTGTTTGCTGGAGCTTTTTACGCGTCCACGTCGCCTTTTGTGTGATCGACAGAACCAACACAACGCTGCGTTGAGGTCGGTACAGGACGCGGTGGATGGGTTTGAAGACGATGAAATTTGTGCGGCACTCACACCCGGAGGCAGTCCGCGGAACGAAGGCAGGTTCCCTCTTTTGTCAGGCCCTCTCTCGGCCGTGGGTGTGTTGTTTCTGGAACAAATGATTGCCATTTACACAAAATATGTCTCCTTTCTGCTCACACACATGGTTGAAGTGCTGGATCCTTCTGCTGTCGTCTGCCGAATCGTCGAGGATCATGAACGTGAGCGGTTTGGTCCTTTTAAGCCTGTCATCGTTGACATTATGTCTTCACTGAATTTTGAACTGGAGGTCAACCGCCTTTGTAAGAGTTGTATTGACAACGACATTATGGCACTTGGAAATGAGCTCCACCGAAGCCTGAACGGAGGCGTCGTTTCTCTCTCAGATACATGCTACATCTGCGAGGGAGGTCTTGGCGATGCATGTGGAGCCGAGGGGGAAGCATCGGTGCGAATATTTGCCTGTGGACATGGCTATCACGACACCTGCGCCGTGAACTTTGATGGCGGGGCGGAGTGTGCCCAGTGCTGCAAGGAGCGCATGGGGGAGAATTACCGTGTCGCGCTGAGAGTGCCACGCGATGGCGTAGATGATGAAATAAAGAAAGATGGGAGAAAAAATAAGGAGAATGGGGAGGAACTGCCGCAGGCGATGGCGCGGGAAAAGGAGGGGGGAAAAAAGGGAGAAGAGGAAGTTTCAAGGGTCCTTCGGAGGTTGCGATACACGCGGGCGAGGCTCGACGGGGCACGGGACTACTCTGATCTCCTCTGCAGGTTCCTCTGCCCAAGTGAATCCTTGACACCGTCGCACGAGTTGCTGAAGGGATCCACGGAGAAAAGGTTGCTTGCGCCTGCGCCACCTTTTCCCATCAGTTTCGGAGAATTTTCTGCGGAGACGTTAGACTTTGGCCCCACCCTGACGGCGGTCCTGACGGACGAGGAGCTGCTCGAGTTGTTTGGCACGCAAGGGGAGGGCAGCGATGATGATGATGATGATGAGAAGGGGGTGATGTCGCTTGGGGATGGGATGGAATTTCGGTCTGACACGACGCAGTGAGTGGCAATAGGCGAAGCGCAAGAATTAACGGAGGTGACGAATGAAATGTTCCCCTTTTTTCATTTATGTTTTTCTTTTTTTTTTTTTGCATGTTTTAGCCGCTTACTTGTCCATCTTGTCTGTCTTTGACAAATACAGACGAACACACATGCACATAGAGATATGACCCTCCGCCGTAACTGTCAGGAAATGAAGCGACAGAAAAGCAAGAACCGAAAACAACCTATGCGCTGATGCGATGAACTTGCTCCTGTCATTGATTGTGTAAATGCGTCCACACTTCTTTCTCTCACTTTCTCATTATTATTTTTTTCAACATTTGTTCAGTTGGAAGGTGGGGTTAAGGATAACGGCACTGATGAAGCGGAACGGCGGGAGAGAAACGCCAGATGGGGTGCGTTATCCCCACATCGCCCTTGACGTACTTGGGCAGTGCCACAGCAGCGCTTGTGTGGAGCTTGGAAACACGCGTGTCATTTGCGCAGTTCACCACCCACAGCAGCTTGTGGATGAGTACCGTGGGAGTCGTGGACGTGTAGCATGCACCGTACGAAGGTCTGCTTCGGCGGGTTCTCATTCTGCAGGATCTGCTCAGCCGTCTGTTGTGACGCCGGAGAAGGACATGTCCCTTGCGTTGGAAGGAGTGGCAGAAGAGGTGGTGATATTGGAAAAGATTCCGCAGTTGTTGGTGGAGGTGGTGGTGGAAATTCTTGCAGAGGATGGAGGCGTGTGGGATGCCGTGGCGACAAGTATGAGTGCGGCGTTGGTAAGCGGGGGCTTTGAAATGCACGATTTATTCTCTGCCTGCGGTTCCGCCCTGCTTTCTGATGGCGCAGTGGTTCTGGACCCCGATGCTGCGGAGGAGTCCAACGCCCAGGCATCCGCTCTTGTTTGTGTGATGCTCAACTCGGGCGAAATTTGCTACGCCAGGCATCAAGGGTCGTGTGAACCGGGGACGGTCTTAGAACTCGTTTCTTCTGCCATGAAGGGATGCCTCTCCCGTAAATCAGCCATCACAACGCAATTAATCAATCACCCGATTTTATGAGGGGGCATCTTAGCCCGAGTGTGGCTTTTGGTGATTGTAAAGATAAACTGTGGTGGTGTGCGTGTGTGTGTGTGTGTGCGGCCCACACTAGGGAAGGGGGTGTGAGGGCATGCCGAATAATTCAACAGAAGGGAAGACTAATACCAATGAAATTTGTGCGGGAGGGAAGAGGAGGAAGTGGAGGCCTTTTTTTCTTTCCGTCCCTCTGTCTGTCCTGTTGCCGTGCGAATATATTTGTGTGTCTTTTTTCATTATTATTTTTTTTTTTTTTTTTTTTTTTTGTGTGTGTGTGGATCAAGCAAAATGTTTGGGCAGTGAAGCAACACATTTCAGGTTGTTTCACTCCAACACCAACGTGAGCCGCAGGGGAAGAGAGGGAAGGAGAGGAGGAAGGCATCCGATGTGATCCGCTGCCCTTGTGGCTGCCGTCGCCGCAATTCTGTTCCTGCACCCCGGCGCCGAAGTGAATTCCCTGCAGACTCTTAAAGCCGTGGAAGGCACAACATGTCATCCTTCCATGTGAGGGTGGCGGGACCTGCACGTTAAAGGGGAGATTTTCTGCTCGAAGGCTACTACCAACCGCAGCGTGCACGGAGCGTCGATTTTTTTTTTTTCCCACGGCGATGCAGGCGTTTTTGATTATTGTTTTATTTTTTTTTGCTTTTGGGCTCTTTGGCTTTTGGAATGTCTTTTTTCTACCGACTTGTCTTTTTCCAGTCGTACCGCGCGGAGATGATTATTTCTTTTTTTTTTTTTTTTTCACACCTCTGCTGCTTCCAGTCGGCACCTCCTCTTGACGGTGGTGGCGGTAGTGGTGTGAATATTTCACCGCAGTGCCTGCTCTCGTTCATACTTTAGAGAGAATTTCTGCCAATGCAGGGCGTCACGTGTCTTTTTCTTGATGGCGTGGGTATGTCTTTGTGTCCTGTTGATTTGCCGTTTCATCGCAGAACTGTTCAACCAACAAGATTAGATGGCTTTTGGGCCTTTTTGTTCTGTCTTCCTTTGAGTATGTGTGTGTGTGCCTTATATCCCTTCTGCTTTTCATTTTTCTCTCCCTGCGCCGGCATGTCTGCTTTTGAATTGGCGGAGGAGATGTCCGCTGGCTCGACGGAAGACGTTCATATGACCGAGGAGGCCATCATACGGCGTTGCCGAATGCATCAAGGGTACACCACACCAGAGTTGAATGAGAAACTCTACCTTAATCATGTAGGCTTTAGAACGATATCTTCTCTAGACGCCTTTCATCAATGTACCGTGTTGTATCTCAACGACAATGCGATTAACGACCTCGAGGGACTTTGCCCACTGCAGCGGCTTCACTCTCTATACCTTAACAACAATGCCCTTCAGGAATGCTGTACTCTTCCGGTATTGCCTTCACTGCGTCTGCTTGATATTTCGAACAACAGTATTGGGTCCTTTGCGGGGCTCTCCAACGCCCCGGGGCTGGAGACACTTCTTGCCGCCAGCAACCGTGTCACGAACTTGCAGGGACTGGAGCCACTCGGGCACCTTGTCACCGTTGACGTCTCCCAGAATTGCATATCTCAGGCGGATCATGCACTTCCATTGCTCTTTCAGAAGAAAACGGTCCGCACATGTATGTTACAAGGCAACCAATTTGTGAGAACGACACCATCGTACAGAAAAGTGGTAATTGCTCAAATGCCTTCTCTCCGATTCCTAGACCAATATCCCGTTTCCCCTGAAGAGCGGAGCTGCGCCGAGGCGCACGCCATTGGTGGGGTGGAGATGGAAAAGGCAAAACGGATGGAAAACGAGCGGAGGGAAGAGGAGGAAAGAAAAAAACGATTTTTGTTTTTCAGCGAGGCACGCGCGACGATGCGGGAGCGCCGATTGACGGAGGGGCCGCGCGTGGGTTCCACAGCCTATTTTGAAAACAACAACTGCGACGACATATATGTGCCGAACCGTTGAACGACAATAACCACACGCAACGGCTGCCATTTACTTTTTTTCTCTGGGTGTGCCGGTGGCGTATCCCCAGTCACATTATGGAGCAATGCTACGCCCAACGCTCTACCGCATTGATGCAAGTGTACTTTCCTGCTTGTTTCGCCAACGAGCAACGCATGTATATTTCTGGGTTGCTTTGGGAGGGCTTTCCATGTGGGGTGAGATGGTGACATATTGATGCATACAAAGCGAGGCTTCGGGTTTCTCTTTTTTCTCACCGCCATTATCCATTCAAACGAGGCTCAATCCCGCATTGGCAACGTTGGGGACTCTCTGCTGTTCCTCATGCCACATGAGGCAGGATGCATCTCATGCGTGAGGACCCTTTATCGCCAAAGAGAGAGGGTTCAGTGGCTCTTTACGGGAACTGAGGCGGCAGCAGCAGCAAATGAATGAAATATAATAAGACTTGTTTTTTTTCCACCACCTGACGACGCTGGACCCAAAAGGGGAACCACATGTGAATGCAGAGCACAGCCACTTACGTGTGCACTGTTGTTCTACCTGTCGTGAAGCGGGATGGAGCCGTCAACGACTCACCTGGCGGAGATGCGAGCTGGAACGATGGTCTCGCCCGACTCGCACCGTGTGTGTTCCCATCGTACATGCGGGCACACGCAGGGCACTCCAGAGAGCCTATAAACCGTTTTTTAAATTTGTGTATGCTCACATTGGTCACGTCGCACACGGTTTCCCTTCTTGACAAGAGACCCGGTGATGTTTGGGCACAACTGCAGAGCTTTATTGGGGAGGACGCGAAGACCGCGAGAGAGGCGTCTTCTCTCGACACACAGGAGGCCGGAAGAGGGTGCGAGGGCTTTTGAGGTTGGATGCGACTGCGGTTGGAGGCGCGTCACGATGATTGGCCGCGAGGTGTGATTGTGCGGAAGCAGCGCCGTGTGACGTGTAGTACTGCTGGGCGGGGAATTGGACGGAGGCTGGCACGGAGTGAAGAGAGAAGTGACACACCCAGGAAGCAAGAGACCAATGTTGCAGTGACGCTGGTGAAGTGTTTTCCATGGGATGAGCTGAGATATTTCTCCCATGGCGCTTAGCTGTGCCCGCGCCAGCCCGTGTTTTCTATCTTTTTGGCTCCACAGAGTGTCCAGGCTTTTGGTTCTTGCTTGGCACTCTTCCACCATGGGAGTCAACGTACCACGACGACCTATCGGGATGCCAAACCCACGGGAATCGTGGGCTTCAGCGTGGTCAATCTGGATCAGTGAGCGGAGACCTGCGGTACCTCATTCTGCGGCGAGTATCTCACGCGCTGTCACGGGTATCAGCGCCTGTGTGTGTCTGCCCTATGACCGGCATTTGTATGGCGTACGCCCTTTGCAAGGCTGAGGGAAAGGGCGGGAATCTCCACTGGCACGTGTCTGCAGTCAGAATGTGTAAATTGTGGACTTGTTTGTGCGGCAAGGCAGCAAGGTTGCTCAGGGGATGCAGCATAGACTGGGAGTACACTTTCTAGCGGCGCGTGCTTGGTGACTACCGAGGCGATGCCCCCAAAGGGACGTATGTGGGTGATGCAGATGCACTGGATATGCGCAATGCCATGCTTCGTGACAGGGAGCGAGGGAGGAGTGGCGTGATTCCTCCTGCCATAGACCCATCAACTTTTGAGGAGTTGGAGTGAAGCTAAGGGGACAAGCGTGTGTGTCTTCACCTTCTTGCGGGAGGACGCGCAGACGTTGGATTTCTTTTGTTACTTTGTTGTCACTGTGCCTGCGGCGACGTTAATGGGGGGTTTGTTCTCCAGAGGCATTCATTGTGCGATTTGTGCGTGTTTGGTGTCCAACTTTTTCAGCACCACCAAATGGGGTGTTGCGCAGGATCGGAATACATGGATGTGCGAGAGCATTGTGTCGCTCGCCCGTAATAACACACACGCACACAGTTTCAGTGAGTCTGATACGTCACTTTTTTCAGAACGGTCGAAATTGCTTGTGGGACGTCACTTCATTTGCGGCGTCGGGAAAGTGAAGTAAATGGAGAGATATGCCGAGAACGCAATGCTTCTCCATAATACCGCAGGCTGGCGGCGACAAGGATCAGAGAGCCTCTACTTAACATTGAGAAGACGGCAGCGCTCTGATGATTCGGTTTGCTCTTTAGGAAATTCTAATGTAGTGTACACCGTGTGAGCCTTTTTGCTGTGGATATGCAGGGGGGTGGGGTGGGGTGGAATTATTGTTGAAGGCAGCACGGACGCCGCCTGACCTTTATGGGAGGAATGCGTGATGTTATTCCGTCCTTCCTGGCCTGCGTTGTCGCACTCATGCTGTGCGTGCGGATGGCCACAGTAGTGGAGCTGAATACGGTTCAATGTGTGTTGCTCACGGGGACTGCGCGACACATGTTTTTTGTTGGGAGGCCCAAAAGGAGGGGCGCATCGCCGTTGCGTGATTCCCGCGGCAGTCCATTACCCTGCGACTGTGCATGCCGCCGTCCGCTGCGCCACTGCAAGTCTTCGCCTTTGTGAGAAATGGGGAGCGTGACTGCTGTGGCGGTGGTCGAATTTTCCAGAATTGGTGCTTTTGGTAATCCCACTTAGAGTGCCGAGCAGCGAGGGGCCGCACACGCCCAGGAGGTGGGAGTGTCTGCTGCAACCGCACCTTCGATTTGTAGTTGGGATGTGACAAGTTTCTTTGGTCTTTTTATTTTTGGTGATATGCGGGGCAGCGGTGTGTTGGCGTGTGCGGGCTGCTCATGACTGCTGGTGTTGCCTTTCCTGCTGCTACCCCGCTCAACTCCTTTGCGTGCGACGGACCAAACGTTTTTACGGGCGTGTGGTGGGGCCGCGATCCTTTTTGGATAAAAAGCCTTTTGCAGGCATCATGATACTGCCGTCTGTGCCACACGAGGTAGTGGGGAAGATCCTGGGATTTTTTTGCGGGGCGGCACCGCACTCATGCGGTGTGGTCGGTTTGTATTCCGCAATGCACGGTGAGGGGGATGTGCGGTGACAACTTTCTCCAGTGAAGCGGCACAAGCAGCACGGGGAGCTGAACGGAGGATTGGTGGCTGCGTGCTTCCAAGCGATATGTGAATGGCGAAAGCAATAAGAAAGGCAGCGTGGCAGCACTCTTTTGCCACGCACACCGCAGATATTTTATATAAAGCATGCAAGTTGCACTTTTTTCTGTTGTGTGGGGAATTACCATGATGCATCGCTGTTGTGGAGTGTATGATTTGGGGTTCTTGCGTGTGGCCGTTGCTGCACCGAATTCTCTTCCCACTTGTGTCTCTGTGTGTTTGTGTTAGGGTTTATGCGAGCATTTCCTCTTGCAGTGTGTGTGCGGTGACGACGGTGCCACACGTGTGTGAGACCGTGGCGAGCGGAATGCATGGGCGAACCCTCCATGCCCACCACGTTGTTGTTGGCTCTCACCAACACTGTGCTGGGTGGATGGTATCCACGGGCCGTCTTTGTGGTGGTCCTCGTGCATGTGGTGTGCATCGCACATTGTGTGGATGGTTTTCTTGTTGTGGGTGCCAGTCATTGCTGTGCGTAATTTCCTTTATTCTTATTCCTCTCCCTTTTGATTGGTTGCCAGTATTCAGCTTTAACTCGATCCAACCAAGAAAACAAGGAGAAACAATGTCTGGTGGGCGCAATAGAATGCAAGGTGGAAATACCGAGAGTCAAGCGTCTGCTGTGCCGCAGGGAGATGGTCAGAGGAGAGCGACGCCGGAGTTGGAGGTTGTCACAGGTCAACCCGCCGCGACCCGCAGAAGAGCGGAGGAGGCGCGGCGACCAGAGTGGACCATGAGCAGCACCGTAAGGGACATCCTGCTGGAGGGAAGCAATGGAATGGCCAAAATGAAGCTCAATGATTTCATTCGGGATTATGTTGGCGGCGGGGCAGCCGTTGATGAAGACCACAATGTTACGATGGAGGTGTTTTTCCATAAGCCGGATGATTACGTACAAGACCAGCAGCTTTTTGATGAGATTCATAATTTAACAGAGTACCAAGGGCTAGAAGGGAGGGGGATACTATTGGAGGCTACTACTAGGCTTGAAGGAGAAGGCGTGTTCATTCTTGAAGAATGGAGGGACTTTGGAAGAAAGGCTACGGTCGCTCTTTTTGCAAGGAAAAAACTGGACAAAGTTCTCACCCAAGTACTGGAAGAAAATATGCTTGAGGCAAGAGGAAGAGCATGGCAGCAACGAGAAATAGAATTTAAGATTCCCACTAATATCGAAGATGTACTGTTTAAAGGTAGTCCTCGCTTCATGGAAATAAAGCTGAATGATTTTCTTGCGTTGGAATTGTGCGGCTGGGGCATTTTGCGCGCCAATCGGAATGTCTTGTTGAAGGAGTTTTTCCGGGAACCCTCGAAGTATATCCGTGATGCGGGAGTATTGGCCGAAGTACAGGCATCAGTTTATTATGTGTTGATGGATATTGCCGTATGGAATGAAATGGTTTTTGATGAGGATATACGCAAGCTTCACGAGAATGGTGTACACAAACTATTTGAGTGGTCAGAAGCTGCTGCGGACGTAAAAGCAAGTGTTGAACGCATCACTAAACAGTTTTTGGATGCAGCCGTCATTGAATCGATGAGCCCAATGACGAAGAGTGCACCGATGAAACTGGAGGGGTTTTACGAGTCTGTGTACAGTGCGAGGTGGAGCCATGTGGTGGAAGTTCCTGGCGGCGAGGGGACAGGAATGGATGTGAGGGAGGGGAAACCATCGCAGTCATGGACGTACAAGGCAGTTGGCTACACTCTCGAAAAGGATGACGGTGTGGAGGAACCCGGTGCACCACGTCTCAGGCTGACGGTGCTCACCTCGGACAAGGGATGGCCGTACTCGTGGAAGGAGGAGGAATCCATTCGTGACTGCCATGTGAACTGTGAGGTGGAGCGAGTGTGGCAGATCGTCAAAAAGGATCTCACCAAGTGGTTCAGCACTCACCGTGGGAAGTACTTGACGCCCGAGCCGCGTGTGTTGATTGGGACGCCCGGGATGGGGAAGTCGATGAATGCCGGCTCGTACCTCCTCTATCAGCTGCTGCACTACGATGCGGAGCAGCTCCCAATGGTTGCGTACTTTATTGGGAATCGAACATTTCTGTTTGACAAAATTGCAAAAACGGTGTCAGTGTACATGGGTGAGGCCAGTATCCTCCGTGTTGTGGAAGGCTTGTCTCAGCGTGGGTTTAAGGGGTGTATTATCTACGACGTGGCATTGGCATGTCGTCAACCGGCTGCTGGTTTGCCTTGCAAGGGATGGGGCATGATTGTGGTGGCACCACCAGACAAAAACAACTACGAATCGTGGGCGAAGCAAACGGAAGCGGAAAAATTCATAATTAATTGTCCCGAAGAAAACGATGTGAAGGCAATGTGCTCTTGGATGAAGCGCAATCAGATTCCGCAGGAGCAGGCGGAATACTGGAAGGAGGTGAATGGTCGCATGAATAAAGTGGGGCCAATTCTCCGCTTCATCTTTGGCAGGCAGGCATCTGATGACCGCATTAAAGCGTGTCAACAATCCGTGGATGGGATGAACGCTTCGAAATTCGAGCGTTACTTGAATATTGGATATTGTTGTTTGTCCAATGACAGCGACTTGTATCAAAAGCTTGTGAAGGTTGTCCGAGTACGACGAGGAAACAACATTGAAGTGCCTTTGAATGTACTGATATCTCCCCATCTCGAACGTGAAACATTGTCCCGGTTGGAAAATGAAATGAAGCAGTCCGATTTTATTTTTCTTGTTTTGAGGTTCTGGGA